GGTCTAGAGCCACAGATAAAAAAAAACCCCAAAAAACCCGACACATCTGAACAACTGACACAACAACAACAACATGACTGTTGGTTACACCCTGAGTACAAACGCAGTCGGAGTTACTGACGACTCAGGTCAACAAAGGTCGTCTCACTGACCATTTACAATGATTTTAGAGGTCAGATCTGGGCCACGGGCCTTGGGTTTGACACATGTGCCTTGGGAGTTTGTGGAGACCCCGGTCTGGTCTGATCCTCCTGAAGTTTCAGGACCTTGGTGCAGTACTGTTGGTATACTGTTTTAAGGTATTTTCTACTAACTTGTACTTCATAGTCAGTCCTTCAAACCGGTAGAAAATGTCGGAAATGAGCCTTTACTTCAGAACTGAACAGAACCCAGAACCAGGTGACATGTAAAATGTAATTTAGTTTTAAACCGTCACTGCTCGACCTCACACACCCACACACACACACACACACACACACACCTTCACTGAAGTCAGTCAGTGTGTGATCTACACATTCACTGCTCTGTTATAATATATATATATTATAAAATATATTCTATATATTACATATATATTTGTACATAAATATAATGTTGACTATATTTATATTTTGACATTTTGTTTTTCTGACACCACACACTTGTCGTAAAGGCCATCGAAGGCACCCGTGTTGTGGGTTCTATAAGTGGAACCGATTACTTACTTCCTCTCAGGAATTAGTGCTGCAGTTAAAGAACTCTCTCTCTCTCTCTCTCACACACACACACACACACACACAAACAGCTGTTGATTAAATAAAAAGTAAATATTTGTTGACCCTCGTTACTGTGTTGATGATGACGAGGAGACACGTCTGTTTCACCAGCGTCAGTCAGGTCTGGATTGGCTGCTCACTGATGGAGCCCTGGATGGTTTGGTCCAGTATTTGGTCCAGTATTTGGTCCAGTATTTGGTCCAGTATTTGGTCCAGTATTTGGTTCATTATTTGGTCCATTATTTAGTCTAATTTTCTGGTTCATTATTTGGTCCTCTGTTTGGTCCATTATTTGGGTTTTTATTTAGTCCAGTATTTGGTCCTCTATTTGGTCCATTATTTAGTCCATTATTTTGTCCATTATTTGGTCCATTATTTGTTCCATTATTTGGTCCATTATTTAGTCCATTATTTGGTTCATTATTTGGTCCATTATTTGGTCCATTATTTGGTTTATTATTTAGTCCAGGGTTCTGGAACCTTTTTAGCAGATAGAGCCAAAAAAAGTCACATATTTTAAAATATATATCCTTGAGATCCATACAATTTTTTTTTACTCTGAATTAAAATATATATCCTTGAGATCCATACATTTTTTTTTTACTCTGAATAAAACAAAATGTGTGAATTTTAAAGAAGACCAATACTTTTAGAGTATAATTAATAATTATAAAATAAAGTATAAAAGTTTTTTTTTTTAATAACTTTGTTTTACTACCCAATACATAAAATACTTGCATGGTTTTGATGTGATTGGCTCCAGCACGAAAGAAATACTGCATGGCTTTAAATGTGTAACAGAGTTATAAATATATTTATATATGTTTATAACAGACCACGTAAGAAAAATCTTAATTTATCGTACGGTCTTTAAATGCAACACCCCTGTAGATTAGAGTGGTGACCCCCGGGGAGCAGCAGTTAGGAGGTTCATCATTAATTAATAATTAATTAATTGTATTATTTTAGTATTATCATTAAATGTACTTTATTATATCATATTTATTTGATATTTTCAGCATCACACCTGTGTGTGTGTGTGTGTGTTGCTACAAAACGGACTTCACTTTTTATGGCAGAAATAAAAGATGACGTACCAGGCTAATGATTTTACCGCAGTTATTTAACGCAGTACGCAAAGAGAGTACACACAAATACACGAAAATGTTTTTTTTCTTATTCGATTATTTTAAATCACCATGATTTCTGTAATGTTTTACTTAAATATCAGCGGAATTATTTATTAATTATTGTGTTAAGAAAATGTCAGCTAGGATTTATGTGAGAGCCAGATACATCTGGCCCACGACCCCGGATTTAGTCCAGTATTTGGTCCACTATTTGGTTTAGTATTTGGTCCACTATTTGGTTTAGTATTTGGTCCGATTGTTTGGTCCGATTGTTTGGTCCGATTGTTTGGTCCATTTGCTCTTATTTCAGAGCAACAACTGTTTCAGATTTAAAACCCAAACAAAGACTCCAGAGAGACGACTACAGCGTGGACTAAAGACCAGTTTGTGGAACTGTTTATTATCGGTCCCAGTAACCTGAGATCACAGAGACGCCCACTATCACTCAGTCATATCTTCATTACAGGTCAGATGGACGTGAGGTGAAGGGGCCACGCTCCGGATTTTGTAGATCGGTCCTCTCCTCTCTCTTACTCATCTCTCACCCTTTACGCTCTCTCTCTCTCTCTCTCTCTCCCCCCCCGCCCTCTGTTGTACTGCAGTTCATTAAGAGATTACATGGAAACCTGAGGGTCTTTATGACGGGGCGGGGCGGGGGCACCTCCGTGGTCACTTTGGTGAAAGGGAGAGGGTGAGACATTGAGATGTTGGTCTGTCATGAATAACTGACGAAGCCTTGTGTTCTGACACACACACACACACACACACACACACACACCCAGCCTCTCCCCACAGAGCCTGTAATTTCAGTGGGGAGGGAGGGAGGGGGGGGGGGGAAGAGGGGGGGGAGGAAAAGGGGGGGGGGAGAGG